TGTATTTATAAATCAATTTGTAAAGAAATTTTGTGTTTAGAGCAAGAGATATTTAAATTTATTTTTGTGATTATGCTGCGAAGGTGGAGTGAAAGAAAAAGAAAACAAATGTATTTTTAAATTAAAAATTTTCGACGCTGTAATATTACCATTTGCATCTTTAAATGTGTGAACATATGTATGTTTGAATGTTAGTAGGTATGTATTTATGTAGGTAAAGAAATGTGTGTACTTGCCTAATTAAAGTGACTGAAGAAGTGCCGTGCCGGTCGGAGTGAGATCTCATCTGCAGATTGCTTCAAGATAGTCAACAAATTAATTAGCTGTGAAAGGATAAAGAGACGGCAACTACTCGCAATATTTATACGAGAACAATGCAAATGAGTGCGTACCCTGCAGTAAAAAATTATCAATTGACATAACCAGTTAGCTTTTTTGCGGGATTTCGATAAATAGCTAATTTTTAATTAGCTATGACAAAACCAATTAAAAGTTAGTTGCAAAGTAATGAAAAAAAATCGGGGGTATGTTTTCTTTAAATAAGTTTCTATTTACATAAATATTCTCATAAAAAAATTACTTAGAATACACATTCTTCGGGACTTCCAAGGTGTAGGACAAATAAATTGAAGATCGAAATTTAAGTTTATCATTTTGATGCTATGTCCAGCGGAATTCGCAGCAGAATATGTAAACAAAGAAACAAATATGCAATGCTAAATAAAATAAATAAATCAACATTTTAAAAAGAGAAAAAAATTACGCAAATTTCTTGCCCAAAAGTAGTTAGTGACAAGTTAGTTGACACCTAATGCAGGGATATCCAAGTCTGACTTTTCGGCAAATAGTCAGCAGTTAGCTTTAAGCTAGCACCACTTCCTGCAGGGTATGTTCATATATACATACATACATATGTATTTGTAGAAAAAGAAAAAAATCAATTTAGTCAGTTATTCATTGCTAGCAAATACTTTTTAAGCAAAAAATAAAAGTACCTTTGAAAGGCACAAAAAATTGGAATGCGAAACAACTCTAAAATAAAAATGAATAATAAACAAAAAAAAAAAAAAATTTATGACAAATTAGCTACTTGAGTGACACGTGTATGAGAAAACAAAAGAACTAGAACGCGCAAAGGAATCGCCGCAAATAAACGCAGAGCAATTCAAAACAAATTGGCAAAGAAACGAGTGAAAAAATTTAACAATGAACTACGAGATTCAAAACAGGGTAAAAAAAAATATAAAAAGAACCCACAATGTCACGATGAAGCTATTTTTTATGATTCATTAGAAAAAATTATGTTAATAAAAACTCATATGTTGCAACAATAAAAATTAATAATGAATATGAAATAAGTTGTTATATGTAGTTAAATGGATACATACTACAACAGAATAGTAATGCGGGTACATACAGTGGCGGGCAAACAAAAAGGGACGCGATATCTTAACACGTTTTGGATAGTTTTCTATTGTTTCTTTAATGTTTATTGTTTTTTTTTTTTGGTTTTTATAAAAGTATAGCCCACTATCTAACGAAAACCATGTGAGCCAACATTTTAAACTTCGTTCAAGATTTATAAAAATTCAACGAATTCCAACGAATGTCCATCAAAGTTTCAAACTTTTTATTCAGATTTCAAAATATGCTAGGTATGCAGTTTTATAGCCCACTAAGTTTTGATATAATAAAGTGCAGATTTAAAGTAGTTAGAACTTACCGTTATACTTTCTTAAAAAAAAAATAAATAAAACGGGTTAAAAGGTCGCGTACTTATTTATTTTCCCGCCACTGTACATAAATACGTTCTTAAGAGTATAACGTGAACAGGAATTTGTTTGTAGGGCAGCAAGCGGAGCAAAAAAAAAACAGATAAACTACAAAAACGTGACTCTCTTGGAATTCTGAAGATTTGTGAGAAAACAACAACAAACTCAAATAAACATTATTGCTATTTGTTCACACCTTTTGCTGTTTTTTTTTTGTTTTATTGCAATTTGTCTTTAAGAACAATATGTACTTTAGCGAATACATTAACATTCTTAAAAAGTTTGTGAAATTTTAATTATTTTTTGCAGTCGGCGGTATTTTTTTTTTGTAGCTTGCTAGGATTTTCTATAGAAAATAAATTATAACCAAGGCTTTACGGTGATGAGCAAATTAACTACTCTAAATGGAAGTTAAGGAAGTCCCAAAGGCCCACCTGCGATATCACTGCCAGGCCAATGAAGGTGCTCGACCCCAGGTGCTTCAGCCGCCTCGACTGCAGAGTGAACACTTGGGGTGTTTAGAAAATAACAAATAATCGGTATTATTTGCGTTTTTTTTCGATATTTACACAATATTGAATTGCTTCCCGATTTTCGGAATTTTCCGAAACTTTTCAAGATTTTCTCCGGATATTTTGTTAGATTTTTCGTAATTTACTTTATGGGTATTCTACGTGCTATAATTTTTTGGGATCTTTCGGGAATTTTCCAGAACTTTTCGGTATTTCGGGTCTATTTGGGGATTTGTGTTGATGCCAACACGACACGCAATTCCCGTTTTCACTATTTTGTATTTTATTGCTTGGCATTTGGCTATCGATAAAGAGTGTTATTTCTTCGGCTACAAAGTTATTAGTTATTTAGTAGAAAATTTTCTGTACCATAAATCTCATCGGGGGGAAACTACCAGACCACTGAACAAGGCCACTTCCACATAAAACAACCCAGTCATGAAGCATATACAGCATAGACCAATAAAGTTTGATAATTTTTCGAAAAAAAATTGTTTCATCATCCACATTTTTTGGCCTCAGGTCTGTCAGACAACTGTGTTAAATATTGAATTTCGCAAGTCTTCAGCTGCTGGTAACATAAAAACTCAAAGTGTTCGGCCCGTAGTTATAGCCAAAATGAAGTTGACTCTAAAGTTAGTTGCTGCTTTTTCGACAGCTATCCCATCAAAATTTATGTCAAAAAGATGCATTTAACTTTTAAAATTCAGTCGACTTTATTTTGCCTATAACTACGGGAATATAAGTTTACAAACATACAGGTATGCATTTTAAATTAGAGATTTTAATGTGAGAACAGCGTCAAAAATGCTTCAAATATCTGAGTGCCAAAGGTGTTGAGAGAAAAATTAAATATGACACCGTAAAAAGTAATTAAAGTTGAATACTTACATTTGTGTTTTTAGAGTAGCACTTTTAACAGGTTCACAAGTACATACCCTGCAGGAAAATCACTAGTATACAACTGGAAAGCTTATACTTGGTGAATGTAGAATTTTGTCTAAACGTGTCTTCCACTTTATTGAGAGCGATCACTGGAGAGAGCTTTTACTCTGCGCTTGTCCATATAAAATCTATAGAGAAACAGATCTAAGCAGTTAAGATATTGGCGTCTTTTCCATATCCATGTACATATGAGGGTATGAGGGCCAGAGGAGCCTATCTATGAAAAAAAAAAATTTAGTAGGGAATATGAGAAAGAAGGATCTATAGAGAATTAAATGCGGTCTTTTACCAAAAAGGTAATTGCACCTACATGATGCTGCATATTAGAGTGAAAGAAAACTGAAAGGGTGTGCCTCGGGCTATTACCTTGTAGATTCTAGTAATGCATTTTAAGGTGCATCTCATCTTTTGTGACATTTATATTAGGCTATTATAGCCCTCAAATATGTACTTTATGCCATTTTCGGCGGTATGAATTACTGCTGATGAGATATATACATACATATCGTCGTTTAAAGTACAAAACCGCGTAACAGACACAAGCTCTTGACTCAATCCCTATCCATTCGTCCTAAACTATACTAGCCAGAAATGCGATTGCTTTATAAAAAAGATGCTTTTGATATATGAGTACCATCTACATAAAGTTTTTCCATCAGGGCAGCTATCATCAAAGAGTTATACACTTGCGTAGGGCAGTCAAATTTTATCACGCCACTTTGTCACACCCGTCATGCTTGTTCTTTTCGTTAACCCATCCATTCGAGTGTGTTTCCTAGAATCGCTTACAACAGTAACGCGCCACGTCGCTAGTTATTTTCCTAAATGTTTTCATTCAAAAGGTAAACAAGCGATGGTAACCAACATTTTCTGTGAATGGAAACAAATCCCAAACAAATCTCAAACCAATACACACACACGTTTTAGCTCGTACATACATACACTCTAAAAAAAAATTGTGTAGATTTCATAGCTAAAAGGTAGGTTACTTATTTCCTACCTTATTATTCGCGAAGTTACATGCTCGATTGTTCAACGAATAGTTTGTTTAAATTTCGGACTTTTTAGAGTGTAATATAGCTGCTGTGCTGTGCGTAAATTTACTACGAAAGTGTGTAAAAGCTACAAAATACACATCTGCTGTTTGATTTCACCCGTAAAATTGTGTAAAGCCGCTGACAAAAAGGATTTTTACACACGAAAATGTGTAAACGAGAAAAATACATATTTATCGTGTAAATTTACCAAAAAATTTTAAAAATAAACAAAAATATACTCGATTTATAGTCGCATTTTTAAACAGATTTTTTAGAGTGTATGTATGAGCGTTGAGCAAGCGTTTTTTTTTTTTTTTGCTTCTGGGTCATGCCGAAATGCGTGTGTGACATACCGGAAAGAAAGCTAATTGTTACGCACGTAATTCCGAGGAATACCGGTCACCACTGCGTGCCTGGTTCTTTTTGATCGTACAGTTATGAGTAAATATGTATGTGCAGATGTACTAGTTAAAGTCTTGTTTATGGACTTCTGGGTGCACTATGGCGTGTAGCGAGGAGTGGTGCCAGTTGCTTGGGTGTGTTTGATGGGGTTTATAATGTGGGAACCTGCTAATAGATATGATACGAGATTAGGTGCTATTTTTAGTGCTAAATGTTCTAATTTGAATTGTAAACAAATTACATACACACATACATTATATGTATATATTTCCATATGCACATACATATATCACGAAAGCTAATTTATTCTTCTGTTTTCTATTTATTTACAGTTATGGAAGGAGGTCTGCTTGATTTGAGTTGAATTTAGTAAAAAAGGTAAGAAATCAATAGATTTATTTATAGGTGTCTTTTTAAGAAAAAAATTGCGTGAAGGGGGGCTGATCCTCAGAAGAACAAATGCGTGTTCTTTAAAAAAAAAAAAAGTTTATATTTACTCGTTGCCCTCGTGTATCACCATCAATCAGCGTTACCGTTCTATTATTTTCTGGCGGAGTTAAATGAGCCAAAAAGTGGAGTGTTTTTGGGTTTTTCGTAGTGTCAAAGAAAAAACGTTGGCCAAAGTATGTAACACACATTTGTGCCATAAACATACACTTTCCTGTGTTTATATATTTGCGTACACCTACTGCTTGATCCTGGGAACAAAAAGTTCGATCGGAAAACTCTGGTTCTCTTCAGGAGACCTTCAGTAATAAGACCCAATTGTTTATTTAACAATTTTTTAATACTAACGATTTTTTATTGAATTTTTTGGGGTTTTTGTGGGTTTTCGGCGGACCTAAAAATTAAAGTTGCGATGAAAAAATGGTTAAATAAAAATTTGAGTATTATTATTGGGAATCAGCTGCAGACAAATTGAGTTCTCTCATAGAAAAATATTGGTTTTTAAGAATTCTATACCATTTCTACGAAAAGTTGTTTTTTCCCCATACAAAATACATGGAAAACTTTGGGCGCTTTGAGCGACCTCAAAATATTTTTTAATTTTGAAATAAAAAAATTGGGAAACATTTTTTTCGGTATAGAAGAATCCTAGGGGGGGTGAGAGCATAAAAATTCCGACTTTACTTTTCCCACGCGTATTTTTGGACCACCCTAATGCCCAGTTATAACATTGAACAATTTTTATTTATCAAAAGTTTATGCTCCATTTTTAATGGTCAAATTTCTATTTTTTACCTTTGTTTGCTGTGTTTTATGATAGAAATTATTTGTGCAGTTTTTAAATGACGAAATATTTTTGCTGAGTTTTGAAAAAATTTTTATTTATGTTCAGTTTTTATCACCACAAACTATGTCCAGTTTTTAGATTACCAGAAAAAAATCGTCCAGTTTTTAATTTGGCGAACCCAAATTCCTACGGAATATCGAAATAAGCCCACCTTGCTGGTTTTCTATATAGAATTTTTGCATCTGTAGTTATGATACCTCAGCCGGTATATATGTACACACATACACACATACCTAGAAAAAGGAAATAATATAAATTGAAGGTAAACAAGTCCAAAAATGTAAAGTCTAAGGCCATATTTACACCACTGAAATGTCATTTGCATATATTTTTGTACTGTACAACATATATGTACATATGTTTGTATGTATTTATTTTTGTTTACTTGTAAACATGGGCAATTCAATTAACTTAATGACCGTTAAGTATGTCGAACTGCTACCGTTTCGCGCTTTTCCAACATTTTTATTGTTCTATATGCAAATAGTGCTCTGCAGACAGCAAACATTATTTTATTGCCACTGCACTCCATCAACCTACAAATGCGGCATTTATGATTTTAAAACTATAAACTCGAAAACTATGCAAAATCGGTTGAAAAAATGCCTGGCATTGCAAAATGCAACAACTCGCTCATAAATAGCCAACACAGAAGCTACCGCACTTTTTTTTACGCTTTCCTACTCGTTGCTGGCTTCGCGGGTCATGGCTGATTTTACAAGTACGAGTACAATTATGTATAATACTCATGGGCACTGCTCCCGACAACTCGATTGCCCGAGGGATTGGCAATTCTCAAATTGGTCTGGTGTGTCTGTTTGTTTGCCTGTGTGTGTTTTGTGGAAGTCATTGAGACTGAAACCACAAATTTACTTATAATTTACTTTGTAAGATGACGACGATGTTTGTAGGAGGAGGGCGGACCGCAGAAGTAGGGGCAGTTAAGGTAAACAGCGACAATCAGTGTATGGAGCTTAAGGAAGCATAATAGTTAGTGCTGTTCTTGTTCTTGTTGTTGCTGCGGCTGGGGCTGTTGAGCTGCACGATGTTGGCCGAACGCATGTAAATCCAAGTCCGGACGCGGATGACTTGAAAGTTGAAAGAAGGGCGTGAATATGTAAAAAAAAACACCAAAGTGCAGTTGTATATAAGTATGTATGTAAATATGTATGCAGGTAGTTTAATGTGTGAGTGTTTTTTTTTTATTTATTGTTATGAAGTGTGGAGGAGGAAGTGTAAAAGTAGCAATGACTTGTGACTTCTTGGTTGGCTATTAGCGACAGAGTTGCCATATGTTGCGATGTAAAATAGTATGCATTTCGATTATCAACACAAATAAGAGGCCAGACCCTTTCTATATCGGCTGAACATTTTTGATATATGAATAGCAGACCTTAGTGAAGAGCACAATGTACTTTTATAGTCTTTACTGTATTTAATAAGCTTCAGCAGAATTGCATTGAATAGGGTGGGCGAGAGAAATTAAAGTCAGGGAGTATGCTTCCTTACTGGTTGTAATGTATGTAAGAACTCATGGCGCGAGGATAATATCTAATTTTTGTTGCTAGGAAACCTCGCGAAGTCTTTGGGTGAGTTCCATTTAGTTCGTTTGCCTCTAGGTACGGTGATCCTAGCAATCGAAATACGGTCCCAGTTGGAGCCGCTACCTTTAACCATAGAGCGAACTTTATTTAATTGCGCTGGTGAGGAATTTGGAAGAGGAAAGATCATCATATCCTGTAGGAATATGGATATATTAGGTTCTGAGCTGCTGCTAGGGAGAAAAGCTGGAAAAACGTATCCAGACTGGTACACTGACAGCTCTAGAATGCATAGAAGCAGGCGTCAATGGACCTAGAACAAGGATGTGCCAATGGCAAGTTAGCCGATCGGTCGAAAGTATATGCCAACAATCTGTGTGTAGAGATAAGCCCAAAAACTATCGCAATGAGAGAGCTGAAATCTTCAGTGAAAGCCAGGCGACAGCCAAGTTTTCATGGCAAGCCTTTCTTTATTAATTGCAATAACATCTAGCTTTTATGGGCACGAGGGCATAAAGGGAAATTACATAGATAGCGGACACCAGCCAAATAGGTATTTGCTTAAAAGACGTCTGCCGTTTCTGTGATTTGGTTAAAGAGACACGGTAGTTTCATTAGGACAAACGAAATGCTATTTCCAGGAAACGCAAGAGAAGTAGTCTAGGTTTAATGTGGCTACAGTACGAGCATATTGATTTCTAAGCCTTTAAAGTTTTTCTGAACTTTTTAGAAGCTTTATATTTGGGAAAAGTGTAGGTCACACGACCGTAATTTGTAGGTAATACACACATATGTATGCACCAAGGTCAGCCCGTAAAACCTGCTGACCGTATCTATAGGAAGTTCCTTTATAAAATTTCATATATGTATGTACCTGGCAACTCTTTCTCCTCAACTCATACCGTGCCTACATTCAGTAGCGTGGTCTTACAATTTTCTGCATGTTATTGATTTTATGTTGCTCTTTGCCTTTAAAATTTTTACAACAATTCTTGCGTTAAGTTTTTTGACTTCGTTTCAATTCTCATTCTCAATCTTTACGCTTACAGCCAGTGTGACCAGATTAAAATTTTTGAGACTAGATTTAGCAATTATATCTTTGCTGTAGCCTAAGAATTTTCAGTATAGCTACCTTTTTCTGGCATTTTCTAATGCTTAATTTTTTATAAGTTATTTTCATCTTTTTATAACACTGAATAAACAAACGATTTCGTAGAGTTGTTAAAAAAACTTTGCGGTGAACTATCCCTTTCGCTTTTTTTCCTACCCGGAAATGTTTGAATAATGGGACTAATCTTTGGAAATTCGAGCTGCCAAGATAATTTAATTGATATTGTATACTCTTTCAGCAAAATATACCACAAGCTTACAGTGAAAAGTTGCTAAGAACATTTTTTTTTTTAATTTCACAGGAGAGAATAAAATCTTTTGAAAAAATTTTATCAGTAACTTAGTTTGCAAAAATTGCAGTACAATATTTCTCAAATTTCAAGTTAAACAACTCGAATTGAATCCAAGACTACAATGTTAATAAAAAGTTTTTGTACTTTTTGGGACTTATACCATTTTCTGTGGTTATTTTGGACTAAACAAATTTGCGTATCACTGAATGTAAATGAGTTTTGTTTAGAAAATGATGCGTTTTTAATTGTTCTTGTTTCTTGTATCCAAATATACTTTTTTGGTAAAAGTCGACTTAGCAAATTTTCACTCTAAAAGCATAAACAGACGGCAGCCTTGATCCGGATCAACTCGGGAATTAGCTGCAGTTGATCCGGATTAAGTTCAAGTTAATCCGGATCAACCCTGCCGTCTGTTTAAGCTTTAAGCTAGCGATCTGCAATTATGTTACTGGACGGCAAATAAGGATATAGGGATTTTTAAGAAAGACCTTACCTTTGGAAGCTGAATTAGCTCTGCTACTCGGAAGCAGACGAGAAGGTGTTTTTATTTTTTTTTCAAAGAATGGAAGGTCATATAAAGAAAGAATTGGAGCATTCGTGTCGCGAGATCAGAAAAAGGACATCTTAAAGCCATCTGGGAAGCTTTGAGCGAAAAAAAATATGTATAATTAATTTAAGGAGTACCGTTTACTTGACTTTTTTAAGCTTATTTTTCATTGCTTCTAAATTTTTCTAACCTTTGTTTAGGTCAATTTAGCTGAATTTTTATCATCTGGTCACACTGCTTACGGCCCAACCTCATTTACTTATTTATTGTTATGATTTACAATACAATTTACTCCACTCATTTTGCGGTTACTGCGGCAATCAGTCGTCACACTTGTAAATGGTAAATATGTATGTAGATATGTATAGAAAAATCATGAAATTCCCACGCAAATTTCAGTCATGGCTCCATTGTCTCCATTTAAGTAAGTAAAATAATAAACGTTAATAATATTTTCACTACTAATGCAGCTGCAATTGTCACGAGTAGGAAAAAAGTGGAGAGGCTTTTATTTTTGTTGGATAAAATGCATGATAAATCTTTATTTTTTTCTATAACTACATATGTACATATGTATGTATGTATGTTCTTTT